GGGGGGGAGGGGGGGAGGAGGGGGGAGGGGGGGAGCCGTGTCTTGGGTACAACAGGCGGCCGGGGGGAGAAAAGCGTTTCCGCCACATCCTGGCGGGCGGCAGGATCATTTTTCTGGAAGTACGGCATCTTTTTTCCTTCTGTGCGCCTCACTGATCTGTCTGTGTATTATGTCTCCGCCTGCTTCCCCGCCAGCAGTCCAAATTGCCACCACTGCTTGGCATGCGTTTCTATTGGGGGTTGTTATCAATTCCAATCGTTGCATCATCATCATCACCATCATCATCATCATCATCACCATTTTTTAGCCCTTTCATGGTCCCTTCCACCCCGGGGGCTCCTTAAGGACCCAAACCCGCCACCCACCACCCAAACCCACCACCCGGGGGCCTGGATGTGCAGGTGATTGTGTTCATACTGGGAGGGACCACGTACGAGGAAGCAAAGGCGGTGGCGGAGATGAACGAGCGACAGGCGGCGGCCGCCGCCACCGGCGGCACCGCCACAGCCAGCGTCGGTTTCGCCGGCGCCACCGGCGGCGGCGCACCGCCGCGCGTGTTGCTCGGCGGCACCGGCGTCCTCAACTCCGCTGCTTTCATGGCCGCACTCACCGCCGGGCTAAACATCCCGCTGGCGGCGGCGGCCAGTGGGGCGGGCAGTGGCGGCGGCGGTGCCGCTGCGACGTCAGGAGGCAGTGGACTGGGGGGTATGGGTGCGGTCTGAGGACGGTTGACTCTCGGCTTTATGGTCAAACTCCGTTAAAGTGCTCCGTGTGCCACAAAGTGCTCTTCGAGAGCTGGTTTTTAGTTATTGTTGAGTGATTTTTAGCCTTGTGCCGTGTTTCTTCTCGAGGTTAGGGTGTGAGGCGGGCGGGAGTGAAGGGTGGGGGAGGAAAAGAGCAGCTTTGCTTTGCGGCGTTACCCGGCCGTGTACCCCTCCCGGGGTTCGCAACTCGGCCCTTCTCCCCCAACCCCCCTACACCGCCCACACACAAACACAAACATTCCCCCCACACTAACACACACCATTTCCTTTTCTTTACCATCCTGAATGCGCGCGCATGGGTACAATTGCAAGGCGCGCCGTGACGCGGACAACGCAATGCGTGTGACCCGTGGGTCTGTGCTATGCCGGGTGAGGGGTACCTTTGGCCATTTCTATCCGCCTTCCCTCCTTTCCTTTCCGCCTTCATTCCTTTTTTCATCCGCCTTCTGTATGGGGATGACGCGTGATGGGCCACGAAATGGGGGGCCCCCGGCCCGCAGGGATTCGAACCGGATCGCCGGGCGTCGCGTAATAATGATAGTGATGATCAATGAGCCCAGATTAAGAGTGCGGGTGTGAGGATGTGCGGGCCGGGGGGGGGTAAAGAGAACCATGTGGGAGGAAGTGTGGGGAAGTGAACTGCTGCCGCTGTACCCGAGCAGGGGAAATTGTAAGACGAAGCACAGACCGGCAGACGGGGGGAGATGATATGGATATGTTGGGAGGAGGATTCGGGGGTGTGCGGGTTGTGGGGTTTACGGCGGGTTGGGTCACGTCGGATGGCGGCGGGGCGGGGAGGTGCGAGTGGTGGAGCGTTGGTCCCCTTGGTCCTATTTGGGGGGGGGGCATTGGGGTAAGGTTTTGAGCTTTTGTGAAGAAAGACCAAAAACCGATATGGGGGATAAAAGGATGCCGTGTTTGACCGCTTCCCATATGTGCTGCTCGCGTAGGTGCCGGACAGGAAAAAAGCCGCGAGGGGCCGTATTTGGAAAAAAAGGGGCCTCAGACGTTTCTTTCTTCCTAAGGGAACCACAGCAGAACAGCCCCTCCCTCTCTCTCTCTCTCTTCCCGCATATACACACACATACACACATATCCGAACATGGCAAAGAGGAAGAGAAATACTGTGGAAATGCAGAACAGGATGACGCATCCCATCGGTCGAGCTGCTGCTGCTGCTGATGGGGATGTCATGGGCCGCGGGGGGGGGATACGCTCCTGCGCGTCACGAAGGTGCACTCTGAGGGGGAAGGCGGAATGGGGGCTCGGGAGTTTTTTGAGGGCAGGGGAAGGGAGGGGTTGGGGTTTGGGTTTGTTCACTACCACGGGGCGGGGAAGATGGATTCCGGATGTATGTGCTTGGCCGCACGTATGGCAGCAAGCCTTGAAAAACGAGACTCGGCGGGGCAATCCTCGGACCGCACAGTACTACAGTCCGGCTGGAGCTGAAGATTGTCTGGCAGCAGCTGTCTGAATGTATGTATGTATGTATATCAGTGAGGATTCCCCTGGAGGAGTCCGGAGGAGCTGTTCCTCCGAAACCACCACGACTGGAGAGAGAAAGCGCGAGGGAGAGAGAGAGAGAGAGGGACGTGCGAGAACGCATCTCGCTGTTGTGGCGGCGGCGGCAGAGAGGGTGTTGGTGACGACTGGTGGGGCCTGGGATGGGATATAGCCGAGTGAGATATCAATCGAGGTCAGGGGAGTTTCGTTAGATCAAGTTCGCAGCGCAGCAGCACAAAGTCCCGCGTGATCAAAAGCAAAGCGGAAAGTAGTTTCGTAGGTTCGTAAGTCACGGGTCGTAAGTCATAACCCCCAACACACGTACCCGGCGGAGGCTGCCTATCCCCACTAATAAGGCATTGGGCAGAAAATAGATGAGGGAAAGCAATTTGGGTGTAAAACTGGGTAAAGAGCGGGCTGGACGGATGCAAATAAGAAACAAGCGGCAGCCGTGGAGGCGGAGGTAAAGCCAGGCTGTGGTCTAGCTATGCTTAGGTTGGTGAACGCGGGTCGTGGCGGTGAAGTAATGGGGGCTGCTGCCGACATGGCGCTGTTCCTCACTTGAGGACCATTGGGCCCCCCCCCACACACACTCTCCCCCTCCCCCTCCCCCTCCCCCTCCCTCTCTCTCTCTCTCTCTGTGAAGCTTTGCAGAAACGAACGACCTAATACCTGTTAAATACACATGCAATATCTGTGCTTTCTGCGCGGGCTTGCTTGCGCTATGAGATGATCGATACGTGTGCTATTGCTGGTCTATATGCATGGTTGCATGGTTGACGACTGCTGTATGCATGCGTTGCGTTACACACACGACCCGACACACGACCCGACAGCACCAAGGACAGGCGCCCTGTGGTCCTAAACACCCTACGTGAACGAGAGGGACCTCCACACGGCGCCCTAGGTGCGGGAAGGCGCCAGTGGTATGGGAAAGGTGAGGGGTATGAGAGACGCGCAGCACGAGCAGCACGCAAGCGATATAAGAAACGGAAAGCACGCGTTGTGGTCCGTGTGGTCCTAACAAATGGGAGGCACTCGTGAGTCGGTTGCAGGCGGCACTGCCGTTGGCCGGGCCCCCCCCCCGGTGAAAGCATCACACACCGAGGATGCCGCGTAAAAAGGCAAGA